CTCCTGTTATCCGAGAAATTATTTCTGATTTCATTTTTTCCAGATCCCCTTTTGTTGCCAGTTCAGTGGGTCCAGGTTGTTGAGTATCAGAGTGTTCCATCTCATTTCCCTTTGGGGTTGCTGTAGGTGATCTGGTAGTCTAGTTTTGAGACTTATTTCTGTGTCTTCTCATTTCAACTGGGGGGGGGGGCGGCAGTGCTGTTGGCACCCATGCGGCTCACCTCCTCTGAGCTGGGAGTGGTGGGACAGGGGCCGGGAGCAGAGGGAGGGATGGTGGCCCAGAAGCCCCTTCCTCTGGGCCAGGAGTGGCAGGATGGATGGCGGCCCAAAAGCCCTTTCCTCTGGGCCAGGAACGGCAGGGGGGATGGTGGCCGGGATCCCCTTCCTCTGGGCTGGGAGCATCGGGCTGGATGGTGGCCCAGAAGCCCCTTCTTCTGGACCAGGAGCAGTGGGACTGGAGGCTCAGAAGCCCCTACCTCTGGGCCAGGAGTGGCGGGATGGATGGCGCCCCAAAAGGCCTTTCCTTTGGGCTGGGAGTGGCAGGACAGATGGTGGCCGGGAAGCCCCTTCCTCTGGGCCGAGGTTTCATATTTTTTCATAAGTTTATTGGCTTAAGTGAACTATTTTGTGAAAGTCTTGTACCCTGTCTGGTTTTCCTCTATGGTATTCACCTTTTTTCTTGGTGGTTTATAAAGTTTTTCTGTCATATATCAATCCCTTGGCTTATCCATTTATGCCTTTTTATTGTATTTAGATTGATTAATGATGTACAAAATATTTTCACTTTTTCTCTACTAAAATCTCCTGTATTTTTATGTATAGAAAGTCCTTTCCACTATATATATATTCATTCCTTTATATATTTTTCTATTACTTGATTTTGTTTTTTACATTTAGGTCTTTAATTCATCAGGTGTTTATTTGTGTAATCTATGAGGTAGATTACTTTTTATTGCTGTTTTTCAAATGCCTGGCCAGTTGTCTTGGTGCTATTTATTGAATAAGCCATTATTTTGAGGTCATGTAATTTTTCAGATTGTTTTAATTAGAAGTCTTTGCATTTCAGATTTTTAAAAAATTAAGCTTGCTGAAGTATAATTTATATGCAATAAAATTTGCTCTTTTTAAGTATCCAATTAGAAGTGTTTTAGCAGATGTGTACAATTTTGTACCCACTGCTCCAATTGATATATACAATGTTAGCAAGGTGTAGTGTGTTGTAACCCCAACACTTTGGGAGGCTGAGACAGGAGGAGTTCAAGCCCAGCCTGGGCAACTTAACAAAAGCCTGTCTCGAAAAAGAAAAAAAACAAACAAACAAGGCTGGTAACGTAATTCAGTGCCAACTCCCTGGGTTAAATCCTCAGTGCTGCAAGACCAAAAAAGAAGGAGGAGGAGGAAGAGGAAGAGAAGGAGGAAGAAGAAGAAGAAAAAACTATTTTTGGCATACCCCGAATGTTCCCTCATGCCTCTTTACAGTCAGCTCCCTTCCTGATCCTAGACCTTGGCAAGCACTGATTTATATTCTGTCCCTAAAGTTTCACCTTTTCCAGCATGTCATTTATATAAATGGAATCATAAAATGCATAGCTTTTGAATCTGGCTTCTTTCATTTAGCATAATACATTTATGAGACATCTGTGTTTTTGCATATTTCAATAGTTCATTCCTTTTTATTGCTAAGCAGTATTCCTTGGTATTGCTGTACCATAGTTTATTTAGCCATTCACTTTTCCAAGAACATCGGGGCTGTGTCCAGTTTAGGGCTATTATAAATCAAGCTGGTATAAACATTCCTGTAGAAATCATTGTGAACATGTTTTAATTTCTTTGGGGTAAGAAGAAGTGAGTGGGACTTATGGGTCATGTGGTAAGCACATGATTAGTTTTATAAGAAATAGGCTGTTTGCCATAGTGACTGTACTATGCATTTTCACCAACAGTAGGTGAGAGAACCAGTTACTCTGCATCCTAATCGGCACTTGGAATTGTCAGTATTTTTAACTTTAGCCACTCTACTAGGCATGTCAGTGTTAAATAATTTGGATATTTCAAGTGTGTTTTCCAACTTGTCTCTCATAAATTCTCTAAGACAGGATGCTCCTAACTTGCTTGGTCCATCTCTAGTTGCACAACCTGCAGCAGCTGAATAGTCATAGTTGCTCTTGTTTCTGTTTTCCTTATTTCTGTTTCTTTCCCTAAGCTTAAAGAACCATAGACTATCAAAACAAAAAAGGAGCTTAGACATAATCTAATGCAGGGGTTGGCAAAATATTTCAGGAAAGGCCCTAGTAGTCAAAATTTTTGGTTTTGCAAGCCATTCAGTCTCTGTTACAGCTCAACTCTGCTGTTATAGCATGAAAACAGCTATAGGCAATACAGAACAAATGAGCATGTTCCATAAAAATTTACTCACTGAAGCAGGCAGCTAGCAATATCGGCCTGTGGGCAGTAGCCCCCCGCCCCCACCCGGTTTAGTTTAACAACTTTATTTTTATAGGTGAGAGAATGGAGCCCAGATTTCACCCTTTCCCCAGATTTACAAGTAAAGAAGGCAAGTTCCAGGATACTGGCTTTCACCATAAGAGACATGCTTGAATTGTATTCAGAGTGAACTTGCCTTATGTGTAATGTCTAACAGTTGATGTTAGGTAAAGCTACACCTTTCAGACGTTTTAAGTGCACTAAGACTTTTAGGGTATCCTATATGTTGCCTTTGCTCTAGATGTTAATTGACTTTTTAAGCTTGTTATAAACATCACTGGAGCAATGGCCAAATTTGAGTGGTAAGAAAACAAAGGTAATAAATGTCCAAGTGAAAACAGTTAAAATAAGAAATGCATGCTACCCTTTTTTTCATCTTCAAAGGCTGTTTCTAATTCTGAAAATGTCCAAATTTGTGTATCTCTTGAGACCAATAAATATGCAACATTCCCATGCTTTTCCAACCTTTAATGTTAATTCTTGATTATTTTGTTGTATTAATTGTTAAAACAGATGGATATTCTTAAATCAGGAAACAAAAACCAGGAAAACATACTCATGATTCCACACATGCAGACCTAAAAATAAGCATTGGCTGTGAGTTCTCAGAAAAGGAACATTGCTAACATTGCTTAGAAAAATCATCATGTATGTTTTTTCTTCCCTTGCAGCACTGGAAGAAGTATGACATCTATGAGAAGCAATCCAAAGAAGAAACTGACTCTGTAGTGCTGATAGAAAACCTGAAAAAAGCTCTCAATGATTAGGATAATTTATTTTTGCTTTCAGTGTGACCTTGTGAAGATTCGTCATATTCTCCATTTGTTATCTGGGTACTCATTAAATAGAAACCGAAATTACTGGGCCCTTTAAAAACAGGTGGCTCTTAAGAGCCACAAGTTTTTGTGTGAGTCATACATCAGAAGAACTAAAAATAATGGGCCCTTTGGAGATGAGAGAGGAGTTATTCTTATTGAATTATAAAGGCAGGCATCCTTTGCAAAGTCTTCAAACTAAGAGACAAAGCAAAAAGTGATGATAGCAGTAGAGTTTAATCTTATTGAGAGCCATGACAACTTCCTAAGGGATTTATGCTTGATGCATATTTTTGTGCCAAGTAACACCAAGAAATTTTATTTGTAAGAGAACTTATTTTTAGATGTAAATGCTAATGCTGAATGTGACTCACAGGGAATATCTAGCAACCAAAATTGATACCACCTGAAATCTATTGTTTGGATCCCATTGAATAATGTTTGTGGGTACTAAAACTCTTTAGAAGTCTGGAAATATCCATTGTGATAATATTTTCCTCTGCTTTTAAAGCTCCAGAAATCAGTGTTGGCCATGATAATAAAAAAATGTAGAAAAGTCGAGCCAGCTTCTTTACCAAGAGCATTCCATGCTATTGCAGGTTTTTAAATTTGATGGAGCAGAATCACTCACTGGGTATTAGAGTTTGAACCAAGGAATCTCTAATGATGTATTTTTCTTCACTTCTGTTACTCAGATCAAATATTGGTTACATGTTTGGCCTGTGCTCCATCCCCAGGTGTAAGGGACACCCCCACACTGGCTTACAATCTAGTTGGGACTCCTCAGTTCTTACCACTTCTTTTATCTCCAGCCAGTCATTTCTCAGACTTTTCAACTCCCCAACTCCCATACCAGTATTGCCTTTTGCCCTCTTCGTCATTCCCTTCCTTATGATCTTTTGAGTTTCATTAGAAATTAGGAAATAAATCTGCTCAGAACACCTAAAGGAGCAGAGAGGAATTTGCATCTCAGGTATAGTGTGAATAGACTGAGAAACAGTGACTAATTCTTACATATTTTGTAACTTCCATGAGAGTCTGCAATTGTTGAGGGTTTTCAGCATTTGATATATCTTTATGCATTTTCTAAACAGCAATGAGATATTATCTTCACTTAGAACTTAGCTATTTACTTGAGAAAAAAGGTATAGTTGTATTCATTTCTTTGTCTATAAGATGGGCCCTAGATTCCTTTTTTCCCTGCCACAAATGGTTATGTAGATTTTATGTGTTATATTGATAGCCAGGGCTCCAACATATATACTCATTTTTTGCATATGTTAGGGTTCCATTCTCCCCCATTCCTACAATGTATGCACATATATTCCTTCTATTTCCTCCAGATTTAAAGAAGTAAATGAGAGGTATCTCCCCTTTTCTGTCTCATACACAGGTTCAGATTGCTAGTTGTAACTTGAGAACATTATATCACACGTTGTCCAAACATTTACCAGTTCATATTAATAAAATAATGCTACTTGTAATGCCTGTTCTTAGGGCAGGGGAGATAAGAGGTCCCTATTTTTCACAAGTTTGGACAGACATGGTAGCCTGCCCCTATAAAAGCAGAAGAGCCCTGTGTCCTGAGGAAATTGGAATGGGTGGTGTTTCCTCCCTGTGTTTTTAGTATACAAGTGACATTGAGGCTGGGATACAGGCATAATAAGTGTTCACTTTATTGTACTATTCACTAGAAAGAATACTTGGTTTTCCTGTGTAGAAATGAGATTACTTCCGACTTTATAATTCTGTGAAGCAAAACACCAAAATGTCTCAACCAAAGCCATTTTTACTGTTAACCTATTTTGATGGCATGAGGAGGAGGCTTAGAAATTTCAAAGGAACTACTGATAGTGATAGCCATGCAGCCTATAAGTGGGGAAGTCATATTTTGCTTCTATCCTCCTCTTTTAGCAGTAAAATAGTTAAGAGAGAAGGGGGCAGTAAATTATGGGAGTAAGTATAATTGTGAAGTTGCTAAAAAGTAATCTCCAGGTCATAGGAACTGATAGAGGAATCAATATATTACCTATAGGAAAATAGCAGGGTCATATTTTACCGTTTCATCTGACCTACATGTTTCTCCCCCCATATACCCAAGAAAACCCATTGTAAGGATTGTCATTCTTACTCTTTTATTCAGAAAGGTTTTATGCATCTGGGCACTGAAGGTATACATGAAACAATGTTAACATTTTTGGTAATGTCTTGAATTAGGGTCAGTTTTGCTTCTTATATGAATGCTTGAGAAAAATAAATATAAATTGTCTTTTTGTATGTCACCTAAATGCTTTCCTTTGGTCTTATTTTGGGGGAAAGTATTGTAAGGAGTGGGTGGTGGAGCAAATTGGAGTTGAAAGAATAAACACTGTAAAAATATTCCAAGGTTGCTGTTTTATTATCATTTATTAGAAGCTTCCTTGCTGTTCTGCTGTCCCCATGTTTTCTGATAACGCATGTACTTAGTTTAATATTAGTACTGTCTTTGCAGATAGCACATAAAGGGACTTAAGTATTCAATAAATTGTAGTTATAATAAATACTGGAAATGCAGAACTGGTCCTTTCCAATATTAAACTGAACATAGAGTTCAGTATGCTTGCTGTCATGTTTTGCATGATATATACAATATACTGTCGTGGTATATGTGATGGGGGACCTCTAGTTACAGATTAATCATAACAGTACATTAGATTTGAGACTAAGAATCAGTGTTCAGTAGTTATCCTCTTAAGAAATAGTAATATAGTTTCATATTTTGTATAATACAGCAACATGATTTGAATGTTACAGAGAATTTTTTCTCACTTGTACTAATTTCTAAGAGCATATCTGTAGCCAGACCACATTTGTTAATTACTGCGTCTCTACCAGATCCAAACCTTAGAATTAATCAGGTGCCAATCAGGTTATTTCTGTAACTATTTGAAATTATCTGGGAAGATTCTGGAAACCCGTGTCTAGGTAATTATAGTTGTTTGTTTAAATAAGAAACCTCTTTCTAATTTTTAACATATCACCACTGAGTATTATGATGGAAATCTTTTAACTGGGGACTCTTATGATCATACATCTGTATAAAGTTTATGGAAACCAAATTTCTGTAGCTACAAATATGCTCATCTAGTTTTAGGAGGGAGAGGAGCTAAAATGATTTAAGCACATTTGCTTTCCAAAGCGTTTTACCATTTTGTCGTTACCATGAATTCTGACTTTTAAAAACATGGACCTTTTTACTGATATGAATAGCATATTGTGCTACTAGGATATCTATTAGTCGTTGTAGAAGAAAGTGTGGAAACAAAAGCATTTATTCCAGAACTCTGTTTTCTTTCAACCTTAATGATTAGGCCAAGGAATAACTTTTTTGTAAATACTGTAACTAAATCTTGGTATGCTTTTAATTTACACAAGAGTGGAGTTTTACTGACATCTAGATATGCTAGATATTTTTGACATCAAGCCCCAAGATGATTTCTTCCTGAAGGTTCTTTGGTCTTTAACTGTCTTTCCCAATGGTCACATTTTTGGCTTATCATTAGCAACAAGAGAACATTTCACTGTGAGTTTTCAACATGTGTTAGGTAAACTATTGTATAAAAAGAGAAAAATCAATAGTTTTGAGTGGCTACCATGTACCAAGTAACATGTATTATTTCATTCCCTATGTCAGTCCCACGAGATGGGTTGCATTATGTTCATTTTAGAGATGAAGAAACTGAGACATAAAATGGTTGAATTCTGTTGCAAAATCACACAGCTAGTAAATAACTGAGACAAAATTGGAATACAAGTCAGCTTGATTTTGAAGCTGTATAAGATAGCCAGTGATGTATTTATTCATTTACTCAAGGACCAAGCTGTCTAAAGAAGAAACACCTTATCATACATTATTGTCAAATTGTTTATCAACTGGAAGACTGGGAATTTAAATCATTTAATTGTAAGGTAAACTTTTAGTACTATCTTAAGATTTATTTGTGCATTCATTCATCTATGTGCCAGGCAAGGTGCTAGATAATAGGAATGAAGTTTGGCTTAATATCAGGTGACTAATTAAGGGGTGTCTACATTGGAAAGGAGAAAGAAATCTGGATTTGAACTTAGATGTTCCAGAAGAACTTGGGCAAGTATCTCTCCCTGTCTGGGTATGTTTTCCCATCTGTAAAATGAAGATGTCAGACTTAGTTATCCCATACACAACAGTGGCCATGAATTGTTATTATGGCTTATATCTAGATGTCCCTGCAAAGCCTCATGCACTCATAGAGGGGGCTTTTAGGAGGTGGCTGGATCATGGATGTGTGATACTGAGTTTAAGGGTGTGGAGTACTGGGTTAGTCCACTAATTGGTTTATCATCGTTCTGGGTGTGGATAATGGGAAGGCCATGCTTGGTATAAGTGGCACCATCCAATAGGCTTGTAGCCTGAATAGAATAAAAGAGAAGCAGAGGGGAGGCTTGTGGCTTCCTGCTCTCTACCTGCCCTATTATGCACTGATTCTCCTCTTTCATGCCCCTCTGCCATACCACCCTGCCTTGCAGCCAGCTGACTACGGACTGAACCCTCTACAAACTATAAGCTAAAATAAACCTTTCCTCCTTTAACTTTGGATGTCAGGTATCTTGTTTCAGCAATGAGAAAAGTAGCTAAGACAATTGTGGAACTCATTTAGAAACAAATCTTTTCTATGAACATTAATTCTCTGACCATAGGCAGGTCCTTTTCCTTCTCTGGCTGTCAGTATTCTTATTTGTACAATAAGGTTGGACTAGATTAACTTTATTCATTTTGACATACATTATTAAGGCTAAGATGATGACTTTTGTTTTACAAATTGAGAAAAAATGTTTAAATAGCTAGTGATTAGCAATAACTGCCAAAGTAACCAGAAGAGTAGGCCCTTTAGTCCAATGAGAATAACAAAAGAATTGATACCATTTGTGTTAGTTTTCTCTTGTTGCGGAGACAAAATACCCAACACCCAAAGTTAGAGGGGCAGGGGTTTATTTGGCTTACAGTTTGTAGAGGTTTCAGTCCCTAATTGGCTGCCTCCAAGGTAGGGATGACAAACAGGCATCACAGAGGAGAAACAACATGGCATGCACAAGGTGGCAAAGGCAACCAGGGGGTTTAACAGCATCTTTCTGCTCCTTATTCAGACTACCAGGATTAGGGTGCTACCAAATTAATCACTCACATGTAGTGTTTTAGTAATCACATGGCCTTAACCCAAGCATCACACATTCCAGATTCAACTACCTCTGAAAAAGAAAGTTCCACTTCATCTGCATGAGGCCTTGGGGGGACATCTAAACACAAACCATAACACCATTGGATGAGCCCCATGGTCCACTCAGGAGTTTCACAAGTGGCTAGCATGGTTGTGCCTAACAAATATCTAACATGCTTGGCAGATCTTAGGTCATTTACCCTAAAAACATAAACGATAGATTGCTTGTATAATGACATTTGATATATTACCTAAAATAGAATCCATTTTGAATTTAGTACTTGTAAATTTGGTAATTGAATTTGACTTTTGATTTTTATTTCATCAAAAGAATGCATATACATAATTTTAAAACTCAGAGCATATTATAGAGCTTGCTATGGTTTGGCTCTTAAGTGTCCTCAAGAGTACATGTGATAAAGGCTTATTTCCCATGTGGCACTCTTGGGGGTGGGGGGGTGGAAACCATTTAAGAGGTAGGACCTAGTAGGAGATCTTTGGGTCATAGGACACATGCCCTCAAAATGGGTAGTGGGACCATATCCCCTTCATCTTCTTCTCCCTTGCTTCTTGGTCATGCTTTGCCACTATACTGTGCCATTGCAGGGCCAAAGCAACAGGAATAACCAATCATGGACTGAAACTTCTCACACTCTGAACCAAAATAAGTCTTTTCTCTTTATAAGTTGATTGATCGTCTCAGGTATTTGTTATAAAAATAGAAATGTGACGAACACAGTGCATCATTAAGAAACAGCTGCACCCTACTCTACCCCTCCTTATCCCTGATTCCTGCTCTGAGAAAAGATATCCATACTCTACTTCCTGGAAACTGTGAAAACGGAAGTTTACACAGCAAATGAGACTTTGAAGATGTAATTAAGATTACAGACCTTAAAATAGGGAGGATTTCCTGGATTTTTCTGGCTGGGTCCAACCTTGAGCCCTTAAAAGCAGAGAAATCTTTCATGAAAAAAGAGGAAGAGGAATTTGAAGCATGAAAAAAGGTTCAAATGCTCTTACTGGCTTGAGGATGTAAGAGACCATGTAGAAAGTGTGAGAAGGATCTGAATACTGCCAATTACGTGGAAGCCTGGAAACAGTCTTCCCCAGAGCCTCCATATAGAAAGAGTGGCAGACACCATGATTTTGGTGTTATGAAACCTTGAGAGGATAACTTAGCCACATAGTGTTGGACTTCTGACCTACAAAAATGTGAAGTAAAAGTTTGGTTGTTTTTAAATGACTTTTAAACATTTTTAGAAATTTCTTTTGTTATACTTCTGAATATCACCCTAATACTTAATTCTGTTTCTTATTTCTATGTCGTTTCAGAGGTCTAGTCCTAATTTCTGCTTGGTAAGATGAGGAATTAGCTAGGTTTTCTTTCCTTCGTTCCTTCCCTCCTTCCTTCCTTTTTGGGGGAGACGGTGCTAGAGATTGAACCAAAGGCCTGATGATAGCTTTATGATAGCTTTCTTTATGGTGCTAAAGATTGAACTGAGGGCCTGATGATAGCGTTACACACACACACACACACACACACACACACACACTTCTACAGATATGAAAAATTGGTTAAAATATTCAGTACTTCAATTATACCATGTAAATATTGCTCATATTTGATGCATGTAGATACCATTAATATATTTCTTCTTTATTTCCCCAAATTTTCTCTTTGTTTGATTTTTCTATGTAGTTGTTATGAGTTCAACTCTAAACTTTCTGACCCATAAAATTCCACTCGATATAGTCAAACATATTAGGTAATTTATGAGTTCCATTTATTTGTCTTAGAGAGTGCCCTCTTGGAATTCGTGCCCTCCTGATCATTCTGGAATGGTTATTTTTTTAGATTTGCCATATAGCTCTCAACCAGGGAATCCCCTTTGCTTTTCTTCTATGTTAGCTTTGGTTCTTTTTTTTTTGTACCAGGGATCGAACTCGGGACCTTGTGCTTGCGAGACAGGTGTGGTGCTACTGAGCTAAATTCCTGGCCCTAAATTTTTTTAATTCATTAAATTGATTGGTACATTTTAGGTATAAAATATGGTGACATTCATCATTGGAAATTTGTACCTTTACATGACATATCTTTGTTCTTATTTTAAATCCTTCATTGTTTTATCTGTGGCTTTATGTTGT